TTAAATCAAAATAATTATAATTTCATGTCCGCACCGCAAATTTAGCTACTGCTCTGTTGACAAAGCTAATTTTAGCTGTAGAACCTGACAATAAAATAGTGAAAATGATATTCTTCATTCGTATTTGACTTTTAATATATGAAACAGGAATCTCCTCTCTTTCTGTCACCTTGGGAATCTATGAGGAAATCAATGCATCTCAACTTAAAGGAGGAAAAGTAGACATTCGTGAAAATTTTGATAACGAATTTGAGAAATAAAATAATCAAAGCTAGTGAGGATGCTGAAGATTTAGGAGATATCGGAGACTGCATACATCTACGCCATGCCACCAATGGTTTCCAACCACTGACTTCCTTCGTCATGAAGACCAATACCAGGTAGGCTGTACCTCCGTACACTGCTCACAAAAACAGTCAGAAACTTCATGAACCGGTACCACGTCTTATCTTAGTCTGACCACTGTGAGCTATCTTACAAGGTAATCCAACTTTCCTTAGTCTTGCACATTGAGGTAGGCGGTGGCTCGGCATGTGCAACATATGTTCAGACCAACTCAGTCGATGAAGGTTCACAGCCCCCTTGATTGACTTTACTTCTTGCGTAGAACCCTTTGCCTGGTCTCAGCATTGCTCACATGGTGATTCCATTATAAGTGAGCGACGCTACGAAGACAGATGTCAAAAAACCTGTGATCTCTTCATATCCTCTACTTCTATCAGCCATGTCTCACAGCCGGGAAAATAGAACTGCATCGCAGTGTACTCGTCCTTCGATATGTAGTCAGATATCTCATCAGTCAACGTCAGAGATGATGGGTGTCAAGAAATGCCAAATGCACCTTCTGTATCCGAGCTAAGATCTCGTCAGCAACCAGTTCATTCGGGCTGATGCTGCTCCCTAAAGAAGTGAAATGGTCAGTGGATTCGACCATTTCATCTTTTATCCTCAAACTGAGAGCAGCTGAAGACCAGCCCTGAAGCACCACCTCTCACTTGACAGTCGCAGAACCCATGCTTAACATATTCAGATTCCTGCTCAATGCGTTTAGAAGGTCCTATTAACCAGTTGGTCATGAGTTTGAACCCTGCCTACCAAGGTTTGGGTAGCCAGGTAGTATCACTAGCCCTCACACAATAGGTGGCTCATAGCCAGTGTCTTTGCCTGACACAACAATATCATTTGCGTACTCCGTCAACGAAGTAGGTTATTCCCTATAAAGTCTGGCATGCCTAAATTTATGTCCATTAGTAAATCTATGATGAAGTTAAACAGGAATGGTGACAGCGTGCATCTGAGGCAGGAACCCCTTATTACCTTCAATTGTGACGATAACTCTCCATATGCCTTTATACGGCGGTATGATTTTGAGTGGAGCTTTCATTGAGAATACATACTTGTTCAAAATTCCACTCACAGTTAGACATTGTCACAACACTTCATTGTTGACAAATTTAAATGCAACCATTAGTTCAAGAAATATTGCAAATATTGGACGCCGGTCAGGATACCTGTGCTCCATATCCCGTTGAGGAGTGAAAATCTGATCGAGACCTGCCTGGTTCTCTTGAGCTCCACTTAGATTTCCGACAAATATGGACCCCAGGATCATGGATACGTTATTAGTAAAACTGATTCCCCTATGATTGTTACATGAAGACTGGAATGAACAGGGAAGTCTGACACGACTACTACCGATTCCCATACAATACCTAGCACCCCTGTTACTCTAATCAGTAATTTATTAACTCTATTCTGAAAAGGCTCCGGCGGCCATAAGTTAGGTCCTGCTGCTGCTTCGCACCATTTTAGGTTTAAAACAGCCTTCTCAACTTCAAGAAGAGTTGGGAGAAGGAAGTTTGTTTCCCACTAAGGTCCAGGCTGAATGCTGAGTAAATCTAGTCTTGCTCTGGGTCAGTTGAACTGTGCTTCAAAGTGTTCCACCTGACATTCAAACTCTCTGTCCTGAGAGGTTATCAGCAAACTATCCTTTTCAGTGGTATTCCTAGTCACCATCGTCTTCTTACCAGTACCCTCAGTTGACCTACATAAATGCTGAGAATTACCTAATGCTGATGCTTTTCTTCAGCTTCCGATTTCGCCAACACCACTAATTACGATCATTGAGAAAACTCTTAGTCAATTAACCTTCGAACTTCTTTCACTCTTCATCATTGTGGGCGGAATGTCTTTCCGCACCTATCAATTGAGAAGACGTTGTGGGAGTTTACTGACGGTTGCTAACCTTCGGATGTATTTTTCAACTGCCTTTACTGCTGTTTCTACAGCAGACTTAGAATCACACCAAGTTCCCTCTGGATGAGAGATGCTATCACGCTCACATGAATGCTTAGCCATCTCTTCCCTAAATACACACTTGACCTAATTTTCCAATCGAGTATACACATGCCCAACTGCTGCCTGTTTTCAGCGACTAACAAGGTTCAGATATACACGTATACGTACTAACATGTGATAGCAGTGCAAACAGGTACTCCAGAAAGAATCCAAATCTTCTACCGACCTTCTTCAACGATGATCCACAGCAATATGATCCAGAGTTAGTGCTGGCCAGAAGTAATTGTCAGAAAAAAATGCAACAAACGATCACCACTCAGTTCGATGACATAGGATTCCATAGATACCCCTAATACGCCTTTCCAACTGGCTCAGTTTTCCCATTTGAGTGTTGAATTCGCCTGTTATTATGACTGTATCCAAACGTTTTGTTTTTTGTCGTAGCAAAACTGAGAGCATATGAACTCCAGTCGGTGGGTGCTTAGACGAAGATTACTGATCATCGCCATCTAGTTTAACGAACCGTCCTAGTCCTTACACATACATTCAATCGAACGCCAGAGACAATTGTTGACTGGTACCCAGTGGAGTGCGCATTCTACTGTACAACTTAGTAATATACCTGTCCCAGAGAGTCCATGAAAGCTAGCCACTGAGTTTTAGAACACTTGTAAAGTGAATTTCGAAGATTTACCGCACTGGTCAGCTAAGATTAAGTAAATAGCCATACTCAGACCTTGCATGCATCTCTCAGAAATAAAGCATACATCCATGACTCTAGATTCCAGAGTAATAGTGAGCGATGTCTGTTTCCGATTTGGCCTAAGTTTCGGACATTGAAAGACCAGTGGGAAATCGACATCGGGATTTTGGAAGACTAGGAATAGTGTTTAGCTTTCTTGCATTGATGACAATGGTCGTAGAGTGAGAGGTTGGGTAAGTTGCAGGAAGCTGAATATTGGTGCCATGAGGTGGAGGAGACACAGGTATTAAAGGTAGGTTATGTTTGACTGGACATTGTATACCATTGGAAGCATGATGGTGGTTGACACTTTTCAGCTGCCCACACCATGAAAGTTTTGATTTGCTGGTTACCTAAGAGAGGAAAATGAAAAGTATTGTGTGACCTCCCCCCTTCCCACCAAGAAGGCAACATCAGCATGGTAGAGCTGGGTATCCGGTAGAAACACCTTACTGAGCCACACCACACCCAGGTAGCAGTACGACTTCGCCTCCAACCCCCATCAGAGTGTAATAATTTACACTGTGATGAAGACTGTTTTTCATCTTACTACTACTACTACTACCCAGCTGACCCTTCTGTGATAGTAGGACCTCGAATGAACGAGTGTTCCACCCAGTGTAGCTCATTGAGTCATTGTGATATACAATCCCACCTGATACGTCAAGATAGCATCTATAGATTGAGTGCAACTGTATGTGCTGACGTCAAGTGTGGCAACTTGAAGCATTACGCAGTAATGTAGTGTAACATGATAATATCGACCAACTGAAAGGCGTCACATAGCTCGCATGATGGAACCAAGGAAGTGTAGGTTATCTGGCAGTTGACTCAGATAAGTTAGGGAACAATAGTCGGATACGCTCAATGACATAGATAAAGACAGGTGACTAGTAGCCTGAATTTTAAAAAGGTAGTAACATATGAAGTTAAATTTATGGAGAAAGCCAATGAGGAAAGTAAAATGTATTGATGCACAGTAAATTTCACAACTTAGTGTTAAAGTCAAGTGGGTTGGATCGTTCTTCAACATGTTGGCTATTAGAGCAGCACGTTTGCGCATATAATGCTGCCAATGAAGAAGGATTTGGTCATCAATCATACGGCATATTTGACCCCTTGCCAGAGCTAAGCGAAATTCTGCATGTTGTAAGAGGTCCAGCATATGAAGGCAATATGGATAACTGGAAAGCAGAAAAGTACACTTAACAAGGCTTATATATATACATATATATATATATATATATATATATATATATATATATATATATATATATATATATATAAAATGTTAAAACCATCATATGTAAAAGTAGCAAGGTAATAATATATGCCACAATAATCTAAACTGTGACACCGTCAGTTATCCCATAGATAGTCAGCTATGGGTACTATTTGACTAGTTCTAAAAGGTGACTAAAGGATAATTGCAAGCGGAGTGCTCCATAAATGATAAATTCGCTAAGAAGCCTCAAAAAGTAACGTTGTCTTCTAAATAAAAGCATGCAACAAGTTGAACTACACTGTCTCATAAGGTTTAGATTAGGTGCAGTATTCCTGCAATTCGAAAATATGAAACACAGATCCAATCTTATCCAGCCTTTACTGTTTTAAGAGCACTTTGATCATATAAGACTAAGTTGTTTATATGTTTACAGACTATTGCAAAGTCTATCGCTTGCAATGTGGAGCTGTATTTCATCGGTTCAGACAGATGATTATCAAACAGTTGGTTACGAATTCAAAGCCCATCCCACCTTTCGAAGTTTGGGCAACCAGGCATTCGTCATTGTCTAGTGAATGAACATCCACGTAGTTGTGGTGAAAATATCTGATAAGAGGAAGGTAATATACGTAGCTACAAAATGGAAAATAAAAAAGTTTCAGAGAAGTCTCTTCAATACACGTGGCATAGTCCATCAAAATACAGTCATCCCAATTCTACACTTTTTTTCCAAGTCAAAAACCTCAACAGTTTCGAAAAGAGGGAGTGTACAGTCAGGTTAAAGATTGATATGATGTAGAAGCACCCACAGTGGAGTGTAAGTGTCGCTGAATTACTCGTCAGTAGTGACAGACACGGAAAGTCAAAGAGATAGAAAAGGCAGCGACAAAGTAATGGATGTTACTCAGTTATTATGGAGGCTATGTTGAGAAAGATGGTTGGCAAGACTGTGACTGAATGGTTAACCAACTATAAAAGAATAGAAGCGGATGCTGATGAACTACTTCTATACATATCTGAAAATAGTGACCCAAAATTTTTTGTTAGATTAGCCAAATTTGGGGTGTCCCAGTTAGACATGATTCTTTTGAATGATTCTAGACACTGATCGTCGCAAAATGCTCAGGAAGACCATAATATGATTACCACAGAAAACTTAGATTAACTAATACATTTCTCGAGATTCCTATATGTATAAACATACAGTACCTAAGTGCACCCTAAACACCAACAAACCTAAGAGAAAAAGGGAGGCTTTAGCATCGGTTATGAGTGTATGGACAACATCTTTGCACAGCATCAGATATTAAAACATGTACAAACAGACATTCGACAAAAGTCATACTCCTGAAGATATAATCTAGTTTCACCAACTAGTGGGTTTCGTGGTCACACCTCCAATAGTGGGTGCCAAGTAAATGTATCACACTTTCTAACAATCTTAATAGAGCGTTTGAGCTTGTAGAAATGTTGAGTGAAACTGGTACTTGTAGTGCAAGGGATAGATTAACAACCAGTGCCAATTCAAAGACTGAATCACCCGCAGAAAAATCCGTAAATTCATTGAATTTCGGCTGGGACCATGTAGGGGGAACGTTCATATCCTGGTTGGGGTCTGCAAAACAACCGAAACTCTAACACAGCAACCAAATTCTATTCTCATTTTAACTAAACCAATGGACTCGCGTCTATGCGATGCGGCTCAGAATTGAATGGAATAATGGAGAGGCATTAGTGCCTGATCTTCGACAATGCTCTGATAGCACATACTTTTACTGCCTTTATCTTCTTCTCTGATGTTCATTTCCCTTTTAATGCACATTGTTGCTTCAGGATTTGTGCTTTTCCACGTCGCGTTTTGCAACAAAGAACGAACTAGTTAAATGTTGGCAGAGAATCAAATAACAGCACCATTTCACAGACCGAGAAAATCCCTTCAGCTCTGGTCAGGAAAATCTCAGCACATATGCGAAAAGTGCTTATGGTTATAGTTAACTTGTGTCACATGGAATGTCTTTAGAATGTCCAAAAACTTATTACGATTCAGGTGATTCTATATCAAATTGTTTATTTGACATAGTCCCGACCGATAGCTGCTACCTTGACGTGGTGGTCGGGCTTGCATATCACAATGACCCAACGAGCTATGCTGGTGGAACGCTTGTTCCCTCGAGGTCCTACCATACCAGAAAGGTCTGTTGGGTAGTGGTTAGACGAAAAGCAGTTACCGTCATAGTGTAAATTGCTATACTATGATGGGGGTCTGAGGGCGAAGTCGTACTGCTGCTAGCTGGATGGGGTGTGACAGCAGTAAGGTGTTTCCCTTGGATGACCAGCAGTGCCAAGCTGATGCTGCCTTCTCAGTGGAAGGGGGGGTTAGAAAAGGTCGGCCCCAAAAATAACACACTCCACCACGCCCCACGGTCTGCCGGGCCGGCGGTGTTGGTTCACTTGTCGTTTCCTTTCGCTCATCCGGCCCCAAAAATACAAAAATTCAAAATAATCATACTCAAAAGGCTGGGTGTGACAGGCCTCAAGCAGATGTCCGATGGGCTCTGCGGTCACACAAATCTCTTTCAGGTACCTTAAGAAGAAATAGCCTTCCACGGTGTGGGCAGCCGGGAAGTGTCAACCGCCCTCACAACTCTGTCAGCACCCAAGTTTCTTCTGACTGCTATCCTCCTCCTCCATCATTACCTTCTAATCTTCCTTCACGTCTCTTAATTAATGATGCTGCATCATCTTCAATTTCTCCTACCTCTGCAGCCTTCGACAACGATCTGAGTCCACAGAACAGTGTCCCTGGTCTCCTTAAACCACGCTCCAAATTACATATTGGAGCCTTCAATGTCCGCACCCTCCGTCAAATTGGCCAACAGGCTTCGTTGGCAAAGACTCTAGCAACTCGGGCATGGATGTGTGCTGTGTTTGTGAGACACGCATACAGGACCCAAGTGTGGTTATTCACCTGACCTCTCCTGACCAATCTGGTGAATCTGCAAAATTCACCCTTCGAGTTTCTGGAGATTCGATAGCTAGCTCTCGTGGTCTTGCAGGTGTAGGTATAGCATTAAGCACCAGGGCAGAAAACTCACTACTAGACTGGATCCCAGTTGATAGTCGCCTCTGCGCTATGAGGCTGAACGGCACAGTGAGAACTAAAAGGAATAGTGAGACTCGCCGTTGTCTCTTTGTAATCTCTGCTTACGCACCCACTGACTGTAGTTCGGATGAAGTGAAGGACGAGTTCTACCATAAACTGTCTAACCTCCTCTCGAAAGCCAAACGTTCGGACGTAGTGGTTGTTGCAGGTGACCTCAACGCACAGGTGGGTAGACTGAGTGAGGCAGAAAGGCACTTAGGTGGCACTTTCGGAATCCCAGCTGAACGTACAGATAACGGTGATCGCCTATTACAACTATGCTCAGATAACCGCCTATTTTTAGCCAGCACAAATTTCAGACATAAAGAAAGGCACTGTCTGACCTGGCGTCCACCGAGCTCGACTCAGCGATGGACACAGATAGACCACATTGCTATTAGTCATCGCTGGAGAGGATCGGTGGAAGACTGCCGCTCCTTCTGGAGTACGTGTTTGGACAGCGATCATGCGTTGGTCCGAGCACGTATATGCCTGCGTCTCAATGGACGTAGAAAAAATTTGGCAACAAAACCACTACGAGTTCTGCTGGACAACGAAAACACCAAAGCCGTGTTCAGTGAGAAGTTGGCTAGGCAGTTATCGGAACAAAAGACTGTCACTCATCCAGAAGAAGCTTGGTGCCATCTTCAGTCTACTGTAAAAGCAGCACTGGAGACTGTAGCCGACTCCAAGATAATGGCTAAAAAGAGCCAGTGGATATCAGCAGCTTCTTCCAAACTAATGGATGCACGTGAATGCATCCCTGCAGGCTCTGAGTACAATGAAGAGCGAGCGCAACTTAAAAATAAACTGACGAAAAGTCTGCGCAACGATCGTGAACAGTGGTGGGCAGCAAAGGCTAAAGAGATGGAAAAGGCAGCGGCGATCGGTAACAGTAGACAGTTATTTAGACTTATTAAGGAGACTGGGGGGAAATGGTCAACAACAGTTAGTGAGGTTATAGCGGAGAAGGACGGATCGGCGATTCACTCGCAGGGAAGGCGACTGGGACGATGGGCAGAACACTTTGAGGAACAGTTTAACTGGCCTCCAGCCACCATTGCGCTGCCCGCTATCCAGTCGGACCCTGAATGGGACATAGAGACAGGTCCCCCAACACTAGAAGAAGTTGAGAAAGCGGTAGGTAGCCTGAAACGGGGAAGGGCAGCAGGACCAGACGGACTACCTGCTGAGGTATACAAGAATGGTGGTAGAGTTCTCTTAGTCAGGCTAACGGAAGTGTTAGCCAGTATATGGGAATCAAATACGATCCCCTCCGACTGGTCTAAGTCACTCATCATCCCAGTCTTCAAGAAAGGCGAGAAGTCCTCTTGTGATAACCACAGAGGAATCAGCCTGACAAACATAGTGTCTAAGATCCTAAGTTCTATAATTCTCCGACGCCTGAGTGGAGCTCGGGAACAGCAAGCCCGAGAAAACCAGGCAGGCTTTAGACCTGGCCGTGGATGTATCGACCAAATATTCACACTGCGCCAGGTCCTGGAACATAGGCATGCTTACAGACGCCCGACAATAGCTGTATTTCTCGACCTGAAGGCGGCATTTGACTCCGTTGATCGAGAAGTCTTATGGCAGTGTCTGTCACTGAAAGGCGTGCCTAGTAAGTACATCACCTTATTGAAAGCTCTCTACTCGAACACTTGTGGGCATGTTAGAGCCTATGGTGAGTTGTCCAGGGAGCTATACTCATCAAGTGGTGTCCGTCAAGGATGCCCACTATCCCCATTCTTATTTAATTTTATCATAGATATTCTTATGGAGGTTTCCCTCTCGTCACCTAATTACAAAGACGTTGACCGGATCACAGGTGAATTTTCCTTAGATCTAGAATATGCAGATGACATAGTCCTGTTAGGTGAAGACGCTGACAAGATGCAGAGTCTTCTGAACACTTTGAGTGGGAATTTGAGAATGTTTGGGATGCGATTTTCACCACCCAAATGCAAATTTTTGCTCCAGGACTGGTCTTCAGCGGTACCGCGGTTAACAATAGAGAGTGAAGTGGTTGAGTGTGTTGACCACTTCACTTACCTGGGAAGTAGGATCAACTCCGGTGGGTTAGTTGCCGATGAGATTTCTGCACGGATACAAAAGGCTCGATTGGCTTTTGCCAATTTGCGCCACCTATGGCGCCGCCGTGATATTCGTTTGTCTATTAAGGGTCGCGTGTACTGCACAGCAGTCCGCTCTGTTCTACTGTATGGCTGTGAAACATGGCCATTGAAAGTGGAAGACATGAGAAGGTTACAGGTATTTGACCACCGTTGCCTTCGTAGTATAGGACGTATTCCGTGGTGTCACCATGTGAGTAATGCAGAAGTTAGGTGTAGAGTTTTAGGGAGAAGAGGTAAGTCAGTCGACGAGGTTGTGAACCTTCATCGACTGAGATGGTTGGGACACGTACTACGTATGCCTAGTCACCGATTGCCTCGTCACACAATGTTGGCTGAGGTGGGTTCAGGCTGGAAAAAGGCCCGAGGTGGCCAGACTAAAACATGGCACCAATGTATGAAGTCTCTGACTGTTGGTTTAAGCCATGTAGGACGATGCAGACTAGGTGGTTGGGGTCCACGGGACAAGAGGAACCAGTGGTTGGAGACCCTAGGTGATATGGCTCAGAACCGAAGTCAGTGGCGCAGATGTATACACACATTATCCTCATCTTAACAACGCTATACCGAATCTCACTATTTTGTCACTCCTCTTTCCTTTCTTCTCATACTTTATATTTCTTTTGACTGCATTCACTTATCTTCATCCTTCACCTCACTACCTTTTTACTTGATGTGCTGATATGAGGTGTGGCAACTCGGACCGTTACGCAGTAATGCCTGGTCCTATGTTGATAATGATGATGATGATGATGATTTGACATAGCACACAAACATTCTGCATTATTCGCCAGATGACGTTCTGAAGAGAATTCATTGTTTAGAATCATATCAATATAATCACACAACTTTGGAACTTCACAAAAGTTCTTCATTCTTTCATGTTAATGGTAGAAAACATTTTCAATATGTCATGCATCATCCATTTTACATACGTTCGGTGATGATTTAACGAAAAGAGACTCGGTTATATCAAAGAAACGATCTAATATGGAATTTTGTCCTACCCCAGTTCCTACGCTTTACTCTTAAAGTGAGCCAGGTATATTGTACTATCCTACTATTACTAGTGGTGGGAGAGATTTGTGAAGTATAAAAGTACTCGACCATAGTTATCGCTGTAACTTCGTTTGGACGTGGAAATTTGAAAAGCCAAGGGAAACAGTCAAGTTCTAAGTGTTTTAATAAAGTCAAGTGTGTGCAAATTGTTGAATAGAATTTCGAAATTTTTGAAGCCTAGTTAAATTTTGAAAAGTAGGATTAGCTACACAGTCTATTTACATCATCATTTTGAGGGGAGATCTGGATATTTTGTTAGATTATGAAATAATGTCAGGGTTTGAAAAAAGCCAACACATCAAACGAAACAACAGGAAATATCGAGTCCTAAAAAGTGTTTTATTTCAGTTGAGAACACTGTAGGAACTTTCGAAATGAGGGGACGCGTATGTAGGCTCGAATTTTTAGACATACACCAATCTTACAAATAAATAAATAATTTCAAGAGTTATTACTCCTTCAGTTTCGCAAGTCAGTACCACTGATATCCATTATGCCTCACAATTATTTTGTTTCTTCAGTTGCGATACTATCTGTACGTTAGCAATCGATAATTGATCGCTTGCGATAAAAAATCGAAAGCAACCTGAAAAAAAAGCTAATCAACTTACATGAGGTACCTTGAATACCCGGGTTCTTTCCAGTATTGTAAGTACTTCAAATATTTTATAAAATTCGCCTTTTCAAACCAACCCTGTTGTGCAAGGACTAGAGGTGAATAAGAAAATATCAACAAACAGTTTAGGTAGCTCGGATTGGCAAGACATTGTACAAACTCCAGTTCCATTTGGAATCTGTTGCGCGATTCATCCAGTCCAAAGTCTGAATCCATTAAGGAATTAAAATGTGTTACTTTTATTGCCGGTCTGAGAAGGACGACCTCGAGGTTGCATCTTATTCAGGATAGTTAGGTGACGAAAATGAAACTAAATAAGTCCATAAAAACTAAAAGTAAACAAGATGAATTCTCACTGAAGAATGCAAACCAAGGAAAATCGAGTGGAAGCTTTTGTTTAGCTGATTTCCTTATTTGTCTAAAATGTCAAAAAAGCTTTTAAGAGATTACGTAAAAAAACAGAAATCGCAGTTAATTGCATTTAACAACAATAACAAGTTTGCCTCACGTAAGAACAGATGTGTCTGTACAGCCCCACTATGAATTGCTGAGCGCGGTCACAGTATCCCTTTCTCAAAATATACTTGAACTTGCTGAAACTTTTAAAGATTAGTTTGACAGTATCAGTTGCCGCTTTTCCTAATTCATAGTTATTTGAACCAAAATATGTGGATTTCGTTATCCGTTTTCACCACACTCCACAAGCAGGGTGCTGGTAGGTGTAAATAAGCTGTTTGGCCAATGTTTACATTTAAAATGGAGAGTTTCGAATGAATATACCAATTGAAGGCATCTGCGCCACCACATTTGATTTTGAGCTATTTAATTTAGAATTTTTAACCATCAATTATCGCTGTTTTGACATGGCTACGATTAGTTTTTGCTAAACCATATCCTAACATTACACGGTAAGGTGGACAGCAGAATTAAGGTGTAAAGTGGAATTTAAGTCACTTCCGTCGATAAGAGATTATTTCACTAATTGATTTGATTCCATAATGTATAATCCAAATGTCGTTTAAGTGATGGTAATATACATTGACAGTAGCGGCAGTCAAATGTCTCTTCAGTTCAATAACCTTTAATTACCCTCTAATCAAAGTAAACCACTGCACAGCACACCACGCTATTACTGTGCTCGAATATTTTACCCAGGTTCGACTATGTTTATTGGAGAAATCTACACTAACTTTTTTTAGTCATGCCAAAATTTGGTCATCGAATTTTTGTAAAGTATAACATTGTGAATACTTTGTTTTAGCTACTAAGCATTTTAGTTAAATTCTCATCAGACTCAACCTTCTAAAATGCATTTCTTATGTACTAAAGGATACATATAGAGTTCCGATAGATACACAAATAATTGATGTACACAGAAGACGTAATACCGATCCGTCTCTGTTGGCCTGAACTATATAGAGAGATGTTGGGTGGCTGGTTGAGATCGTTAAGGTTATAAGAGCAATGGCTGGAGACTTGGTATTTTGGTTCAAAACTGATCAGTAAAGTCTTCGCCATCCTTGACTTCATGAACATCACTTAGTTGTTTTCTCTCGCCTTATACATTTTCCTCCGCTGCAGTGTCATTATTTTTCGATTCAGTTGTTTGTTGTATGTTTCTGTGTGTGGCAACATGAACTCATGAACTTCTGTGATGTTCTACTTTGATTTGTCTATCTATCTGACTTCACGGTTTGATATCATATTACCTAGTGATATACTTACAGCTGATATGAAATCAAAACTGGTGCAACATATGAGTAAGTAGTGAAAGTCCTATGGAGTGAGCTACATAAAATGTATTGAGTCCCCTTAAACATGCAAAACGAAACTTATTAATGTGCTTGAGTAAATGAAAAGTGAAAACGATCACTAGTTTCATACAGATGTGTCTTAAGCAGAATAATCACTCAGTAAGTAAATGCATCATCCTCAATAGTACTCCAGATCATATACAGGTTACAATACACAGGGTCCATCATTGACTTCTTCACTCAACGGGTGTTGCCGCAAAAGCAAGTTAATCCAAACACTCACTTTTCTTTAGTCGTCCAATATTCTTTGTGTGATGTAATTCCATGAACCTTGCCAATCTCGTTATATAAATAAAGACTGTGCACTACTTGTTTTACTTTGTCTGCGTTTTATTCAGTTCTTATGATATTGTATTCACGTAATAAGCCAATACTATTAATTCCCTTCATAATTGCATCTTAACTTCAAAGCTATTCTTTAGTTACCTGTTCAAAAGGTTCTTATTTAACTTCATGCCAACTGTAAACAACCCATTATAGGACATTGTTTCCAACCCCATGAGGCACTGTCCGATTACCTATTACAATTCCACACGTATGCTTTAACGTATGAGTTCATATTTCAGAGTTGAGTTAACAAGAAAACGTTTTAGCTTAAATAAACTGTATTCTCTATCCGAAATGCGTTTTTATCAACGTTTACTATCACTCCACCCACCTAGTCCAATAATAGGGAGCTGTGGTTCATTGGTTTCAGGAAATGACCTTCAAAAACTTGGCCATGGGTTCAAAAAAGCTGCACCTACCGAGGCTAGGGTAGCCAGGTAGTATCAGTAGCCCTCATACAACACGCATGATCCATTTCCTACTGCACAAATGTGCACATGGTTCATGAGTGCATTTCGATTCGAGTCCAATAATATTGATGAGGTACACCAAGACGATTGCTGTAACAAAGACCAACCGGCACTGACTTGATACACTTAGAATATTGCGTGTACAACCTTAAGAGGTTTTCCAGTACTGACTCCTGAAGGTCTTATTAGACCAAACCAAGAAATAGTACGTCCTAAATTTTCATGTATACAACATTTGAGTCTCTCTAAAAGATTTAATTATGGGATAGATGCGTTCTAAGGTGACCAGACAAACGAGATCAACACGACCAGAAATAAGTGCGCGAAGATTCAAGTTGCTATATTCCACATAATCACATCAAATGAAAAAGTATTAAGATGAAACATAAAGATATAAAGAAAGCAGTTAAGTTGTAAACAGCCAAGATCAAAAACGAGGAATATGAAAACAGAAATCAGTATGACGATTAAGTTGGAGATGATATCGATTCTGAGCCATATAACGTTGAAAATCCAACCACCAGTTTATTATCAGGAATCAGGAAGTTCATTTTCCTCCTAAAGAGCTAAGACCAACAGTCAGAGACTTCACAGACCGATGTTGTTTCATTCTGATCCCCTCTAACTTCTTCGTATCCAACGCCTAATTCAGCTAGCAACGTACGACGCGGTAGATGGTGACTAGGAATGTATAACACGTGTCCCAACCACCTGAGTCGATGAAGGTTCACAACCCTATCAATTGACTGCGTCTATTAGGATGCCTGCAAGAAGAACCTAGTGAGTAAACCACCACCGAAAACGATTGGGGCGAAGATAGCTTCCAAAGCTTGAATACTCACACTAACTTTTATTATCAAATTGTTTATACGCTCGCACATCTTTGTGTACTTTGATTTCACTTTGTTTCTACCCACCTGTTCTTTGTGTACTACTGGTGAATTGCGGCAACTTGGACCGATGCACCTGCGTGCAAGGTTCTACGGTGATTTTGTCAGCCAGTCAGTCTGAGAAGTTTGGATAAGAATGGAGAGAGTGGAGATGCTTGACGGAAACCACTCGAAGTACACAACTCCCTATTGCCTTGAACAGGCATATGAGTTCGAGTATAGAACAGTATATTTACTGAACACCCCCTAAATAAAGTACACGGCCATAAGACCTCAAATGTCACCTTCAAGTCAAGAAATATAGCCAGGGTGTCGGTAAGTGCCTGTTTTCCAGAAACTGCCAGAGGGTGAATATCTGGTTGATACATTCAGGACCATGTTTGAAAACTACCTGGTTTTCTTACGCTGCCCTCAAACTCCACTCAGATGTCTAATGATTATAGAATCATGAGTCTTAGACACTATTATTATAATTATTATTATCATTATCATTACTATAACACAAACAGGATACAGCAAGGGCACTGAAGAAGGAATACGCCACACAAAATAATACAACAACATTATGAAGACATAAAGCGAAAGGAAGTGGATGAAAGAAAAACACAAGAACAGAACGAGTAGAAGGGCAGTCCGGTAAGACATATTCAAAACAAAACACTCGTTACTTTTCAGCAGCAGAAAATAGAAGGAAGCTACAACATGACCACCCCTGGTTTCGATTCTGAACCATACCTGATGTGTCAAGCCACTGAGTCGCGCGATTTCTCGAACCCCAACCAGGGTGTCGTGATGTACCAACAGATGCTAATCCGATACTGAACGACAGCTGCTACCCAGATGTGGAGATCGGGCATGTGTATCCCGATGACCCAACAAGCTATGATGGTGGAACGCTTGCTCTCTCGAGGTCTTACCATACCAGAAAGATCTGTTGGTTAGTGGTTAGATAAAAAGCAGTTACCCTTACCCTTAACACGTTCCTAAACAAAGAAATGATGTATTACGGTGGCTTAGATCAGTCACCAGTGGTTAGTAGTGATCCAGAACCACAGGACGTATGTCCGACTACATCTTTCAAAATACATGCTAATTGTCGTGGTATCAAAAAGGCCGTGTGTGACCGACGTCTACCAGATGTCCGCACACCAACCCTTCTTTTTCAGATACCTCAAGAGAACCAAGCCTTCCATGGTGTGGGCAGTCGCGAAGTGTCGACCACTCTAACAATTCAGGCAGTGCTCAAGTTCACCTTTCCCTTTCTTACCTCCTAATATTTCTTCACATCTCTCAGTTAAAAATCCTACATCATCTTTAATTTCTTCTAGCTCTCCAACTTTTGACAGAGATCTGAGCCCACAGAACAGTATCATTGGTCTCCTTTCGCCACACTCCAAATTACACATGGAAACCTTCAATGTCCACACACTCCGTCAAACTGGCCAACAAGCTTCACAAGCCAAAAATCTAGCAACTTGGGTCATGGATGTGGGTTGTTTGGTTATCCACTTAACTTTTCACCGTCAATATGGTGAATCCGTGAAATTCACCCTTCGTGTTTTTAGAGATTCGATGGCCAGTTCACGCAGTTTTGCACGTGTAGGCATGGCACTAAACACCAGGGCAGAAAACTCACTACTAGACTGGACCCCAGTTGACAGTCGCCTATGCGCTGTCCGGCACAGTGAGAACTAAAAAGAATAGTGAAACTCGCCGCTATCCTTTTGTAATCTCTCCTTATGTACTCACTGATTGCAGTTAGGATGAAGTGAAAGATGATGAGTTCTACCGAAAACTATCTAGCCTCCTTCTGAAAGTCAAACGTTCAGACATGGTCGTTGTTGCAGATGATCTAAATGCACAAATGAGTAGGTTTTCAGGCAGAAAAGCACCTAGATGGCACCTTCGGAATCCCAG